ATGATCAGGCCTCACTTGGCAGTGTGTACATCTCCATGTGGGTGGGGCCCAGGTCTGGAGTCTGGACTGGGACATTCCCTGGGGTCCGACCCAGCTCCAGCCCCTCACCTGACAGGCGGCTGCTCGGAGTGCTGGACAGTGGGGGACCTTCCAGTCCCAGGGGGCACCAGTCCTGGGAAGAGGTACGGGGGATTGTGCAGACCGACCTGGAACTGGCAGGGAGACATGGGGAAGGTCACTGATGTTCTCTGAGCTCCATTTCTTCGGTCTGGAAGGGTAATACTGTCCACGCCGCCAGCCCCATTCCATTTAGAGAACCACCACTGGCTACCTCTTTAGTCCACGGATTGTGGGACCCTACTCCAGCCCAGGCTGACACACGACAACTGGACCTAATTATACAGGATATGGCTTGGCCACAGCTGCTGTGTCAGCACAGCCCCTTAGAGCAGTAGGGCCTGGTAAAAGCTCATGGGAGGCTCCTGAGGACAGCAGTTTGTCCCCCTGAGCCCAAATTAGTGTCTGAGGTTTGGCACTGTTGCCTATAGCTTGTAACCTTAAGGACGACACCTCGGGAAAAAAACAGAATGGAATCTTTGCTTAATTGAAGCCATGCAGGCCAGCTTTTCCATCACTTTTACCCAAAGCCCACACGGCAAAAACCATGCGGACGGCAGCTGACCCTGCCCACCCTCCCCAAGGGAGGGCCTTCGCAGAAGGAAGTGCTTGATGGAGCCAGATCAATATTGACCCAAGTGAAGTGCCCATGGAGGCAGGACCAGGACACATTGGTGACACTGCCCAGAGCTTGAGGACACAGATGACCGAGTTATGAGGAAGAGGAAGCTGAGGTGGGTACTGGCAGATTCCTGGTGTGAACCCTGGGCGGGACACCCAGCTGTGCACCTGGCCAGTGAGCCCAGCCACCCTCACGCCCTGGCCCTGGCCTGCTCCTTCTCTAGCCACTTCAAGGCTCCACTGGGATGGCCTCATCTGAACTCCCAGAAGAGGCCCAGGGGTGCCCACCTGTCCTCCTGGGAGGAGAGGGAGGAATCTTTCTGTTGGCCGGTGTGGTCCTGGCTTAGGAGGACTTCCCTGAGAGGGAGGCTGTGCCAGCTAAGGGGTCCCCAAGACTTGGTTATTGCGGGGGCCTAGGAAGCTGGGGGGCCCACCGTGCCCACCTTCTGTGGCACCAGGGGGCTATTTCCAAGCCTGCGTGTGCACCAGCCATGGAAAGCGAAATAAGAGCAGTTTATACTTGAGCAACATGACATACCTGTCCTAAAGCACTAGATAGTCATGCTGCATGGGGCTGGCCAGACCAGCCGCCAAACTTCAGTGACCACGAGGAGACTACATGACAGAGTTATCATAGAAAACTAGCAGAAGGTGGGCACTGAGGATCCCCCAAGAGAACTTCAGTGATGCTCAGTAACCAAGATGATGGCCTGGAACTGGGGCTCCCGCTGCCCGCAGCAGGGCCCAGAGCATCCACAGCCTCACCGAAGCGGGGCTGGGGTCCACAGTCTGCCTCAGATCACCCAGTCACTCTCTCGGCGGGTTCTTAGGACTCAGAAGCTCAGATGCTGGTCTGACCAAAAGGGAATGAGAAGAGATTAAAGCAACTTCCGGGACCTCAGGGAAGGGGGGCCATGCATGGTGGCCCCAGCCAGACATAAAGGGGCTACTGGCCTTGCTGCCTGTGTCACCACATGGTGATGGCCAGACACCCTCTGCAGGTGTTTGCTGGAGTCAGAGCCACTAGGGAGGCCCAGGCAGAGGCGGCTGGCACAAGCCCCTCAGCTCCTGGCTGCAGCCCTCCACCTGAGCACCTGGCTCCCAGGGCCTGGTAAGCCTCTGATCCTTCCACAGATCAAATTTGGTGTTTGGCCCACACCCTGGGCCACCAAAGTTCTTGCCTACCTTCAGCACCTCATTCCCGGAGGAGCAGGCCAGGTGCCAATGTTTACTTTGGCCCAAAGGATGTCCTGCTAACATTGCCCAGGACAGGCTGACCATGTTGTCAGCAGGAGGGGCACCTTCATGTCACCTCAGCCTGCTCCCAGCAGGAGGTAGGTCTGCAGGAGCCGGCTTGGGGAGACCCAGGTGGATGCTGATGGCTGCTGCCTATCCTTGCTCCCTCTCCCTGTGCCAGCTGAGCTCTGACACCCCTCCGGGCCCCACTGCTTTGCCTGGCAGGGGAGGAGGCCGTGCAGAGTTTAGGGGTATGGTAGGCATAGAAGCACTCCACAGCTATCCAGGTCTTAAATCCTGAACCTTTGAATCTTACCTTATATGAAAAAAGAGTCTCGGCAGATGCGATGAAGTTAATTATCTTGAGATGAGGAGATTATATCCTGGATTACCCAGTGAGCCCTGAATACAATCACATGTAATCTTATCAGAGGGAGGCTGAGAGATTTCAGAGAAAGAAGGCCATGTGACCACGGAGGCAGAAACTGGAGTGATGAAGCCCACAAGTCAAGGAATG